CCCTTTAATGGGTTTAGATCCCCTTACTGTAGCTCTCCTTCCTATAACATTAGACACGAGAAGAGAGAGAGAGAGCTCAATTATCTAGACGACCAGCCTGATAAAACCCTAAATCCGCTCACTGCCGATGGTACGACTTCAGGCAGTGGGGATCAATAACACCCGGTTACTATATGATCACGCTTTGCTGCTGGTTTGTCCACTTATAAGTGATGCATGTTAGTAGGAGGAGGTTACAGTCAGGAGCCAGTGGCAGTCAATCATGGTAGGCGTTCATAGAGCTGTATGATATAGCTAAATATATCCATATGTTACATCAAACTTAAAATAAAATTAAAAACATTAAGTCATAACCAAACTGAGTTAAGTTATAAAACCATTTTTAGCAACAATTTTCTACTGTGATCTATATAAAATATCACAAACATTCCATTTTCTGTTCCAATAGAAATTAATAAGGTCACCCATGAAAAAAATTAATAGGGGCAATGCTCCATTTTCTGAAGGGTTTGTTTACGCCACTAATCAGCTGATCGGCAACAAACCCCTAAAGCTTTTACTCTCACTAACGTCATTCAGGCCTCCAGAATTCTATTAACCAAAACCAAATTAAAAATAAATTTAATGCAATGATCATTCAAAAACTGTGTATCAATTAATTATGCATCAATATATTGTAAACCATGTACACTACTGTATAAAACACACATACACACACATAACCATTATGTATATTTATAATGGTACAGATGTGTGTGTGTGTAAGAACCAGAAAATAAGTACAGGGGTATTCATGAAATGGTGCACACACACACAAACTGCTTTTACCATTCCTACAGACAAATAAAATCATACCAACAACAACAACAACAACAACAACAACAACAACAACAACAATAATAATAATAATAATAATAATAATAATAATAATAATAATAATAATAATAATAATAATAATACACACACACACAAAATAATAGGCTTCAGGATTAAGGCCATTATCCCGATATTCCCTAACATAAAACACCATCTTTCTCACACTGCCTCATAAACACTGCCCCCAAATTGCAGAGCTGAGAGTAGGTTGAAAACATTCCACTTGTATGCAAATTATGATAAACCTTAGTTTAACCCTATGAGTAGTGGAGGGTTAAATCACCTCATCAAAGGGTTAAATCATCATATAATATTATACAGCTTGAATGTTAAGCAAAAAAATTTTGTTTTTGACTTTATGATAAGTACTATGTTTTTAAAATTGTCTGAGTACCACTGCAACCCTACTGAGGACACCCTGCAGCGACCTAAGGTGGGAACCACTGCAAGGATGTTAATAAATATGTCACTAACTGGTGTACTGAGAGGTAGTGCTGTGCTCCAACTTTGTAATATTCATTTGTATTAGTGAGGATGTATGTAGTATTTATGTATGCATGCAAGGTCTTACTCTATGAAACAAATTATTTACATACAGTATGAAAAATGAATGAATGTGTGCGTGTTAAACCTGACATACCTAAACAATAAAATATTCCCAGTCGATAAAACCATTAAATATTTATATCATACCTAGACACTGCACACCAACCAGTTGTGTTTACTGACAAAATATTAGGTTGTTTAAAGGTCAATTATTGTTTAATGAATCACACAGATACACAGAGCACCTCACAGACAGAGACACAGATAGCCCACACACACAGACAGACACACACACACAGATACACAGAGCACCTCACAGACACACACACACAGATAACCCACACACACAGACAGACACACACACACAGATACACAGAGCACCTCACAGACACACACACACACACACAGATAGCCCACACACACACAGATACACAGAGCACCTCACAGACACACACACACACACAAGATACACAGAGCACCTCACAGACAGACACACACACAGATCGCCCACACACACACAGATACACAGAGCACCTCACAGACACACACACACACACAGATAGCCCACAGATACACAGAGCACCTCACAGACACACACACAGATCGCCCACACACACACAGATACACAGAGCACCTCACAGACACACACACAGATAACCCACACACACACACACACAGATAGCCCACACAGATACACAGAGCACCTCACAGACAGACACACACACACACAGACACACACAGATACACAGAGCACCTCACAGACAGACACACACACAGACAGACACACACACACAGATAACCCACACACACACAGATACACAGAGCACCTCCAGACACACACACACACACACAGATACACAGAGCACCTCACAGACAGACACACACACACACAGATACACAGAGCACCCCACAGACACACACACACACACACAGATACACAGAGCACCTCACAGACACACACACACACACACAGATACACAGAGCACCACAGACAGACACACACACACACACAGATACACAGAGCACCTCACAGACAGACACACACACACACAGATACACAGAGCACCCCACAGACAGACACACACACACACAGATACACAGAGCACCTCACAGACAGACACACACACACACAGACACAGAGCACCCCACAGACAGACACACACACACACAGATACACAGAGCACCTCACAGACAGACACACACACACACAGACACACAGAGCACTCACAGACAGACACACACACACACACAGATACACAGAGCACCCCACAGACACACACACACACACACACAGATACACAGAGCACCTCACAGACACACACACACACACAGATACACAGAGCACCTCACAGACACACACACACACACAGATACACAGAGCACCTCACAGACACACACACACACACACAGATACACAGAGCACCCCACAGACACACACACACACACACACAGATACACAGAGCACCTCACAGACAGACACAAACACACAGACAGACACACACACAGATATAATCTGCCTAAGGCTGTCGGTCTTAGTTGATGAAAACTCCAATTCCATTATAAAACAATGATAATAAGTGGTGACAGGGATGGTGCCACTGGTAGTGGCTGTGGAGTCCAATCCTGACCCAGGGGACAGCTCCTGGTTGGGCGAGAGATCTCCTTTTCCTACATGCCCATGGGGGCACTATAATGCTCGATCTCCAGATGTTTAATGCCCGAGTAGTGAGATTCTCATGATACCATGACAGTAGGGGTGCAATGACCCACCAGCATGGTCCTGATCACCAGGTTCTGGTAGCAAGAATGGACTCAACACTACCTTCAGGTGACCAGGATTGCAGAGGACTGTTAGATATCCACTAAGTCAAAGTTTACCTGACAATGGTTCCCCAACTGCGGTTTTGTGTAGTGACAAGGGTCAGGAACAAAACCCCCAGAATAAGGAATAAATGATTATGAATATTATCTTAACGCCACAACAGCCTGGGTCATATGGCGCCGGAGATATTTAATGGCAAAAGGTTAACTAAAATTAAAAAGGACGTAAAATACACTAATACAAAATAGGACAAAAACCCCTTGGTTAAAATGCAAAATAGTTGCCACGAGGAGGCACCGAAGGATCTTGGTGAGAGGCTGTTTGCCGGCAGGGAGAGACTTGTGCACTCTGCTCTCCCCTTCACCACAAGAGTTTGCAGGTGGCAGTAGCTGAATTTGTCAATCACACTAGAAACATCACACCACCCTGTAGCTAGCACCCACCAACACACACAGAGAGGGTTTGATGACTCAAAACACACTTGGCTTTTTCAAACAATCACCTGAACTCACATAGAAATTCCATTATTTTTGCATTATTTTGTGAGTCACAAACTGTAGTAATTGTATGGGGTTGGATGTTAAATGGCCCCAGTTCTAAGAGACCCTATGTAACCTAACCTAAATTAATACAACTTAAACCCAACTTCTCCCAATTTTACCTAACTTAACAAAACCAAACCTAACCATACCTAACCTAACCCAATTACACCTACCATATATTAATGATGGTGGCATTATCATCATAACACACAAGAGTAAAAACACCATCCACTATTGGACACTCAATCATCATTCACATTAACCTGATACCAACATTAAAGTCGAGAGCTAAGCCTTTAATCTCTTCCTTTAGTGTTTAAAAATAACCTGGTTGACGCTCTGCCGCCGTATCTATATTAACGCTATATTTCAATAACCCCTTTGGTGTTATTTACATTATTTTGGTGTTTTTAATTGTTTTGTATTACAATATATATAAAAAAATAATGTCCTTAATTTAGTATTTATTTACGTGAAAGATTAGTCCCCAGTTTATCTCACCAGACAGATGAAACATCCTAACCAATCTAACTTAACAATAACCCAATGCTAACCTAACTTAAAGCTAACCCAACTTAAAGCTAACCCAAAGTTTAAACTATCTTAACCTAACATTATGTGCCAAAACCAATCTAAGCAGACAGATAGTTAAAACTGTAATTATATTATAACATGTTAAAAAGTGAGATGGGATATAGACCAACATTCGAGTGATCGTTAAATCCTAAATAACTCTTAAAGATGGGGATAAAACTACTAATGCAAATTAAGAGCAGGTAATTAGGAATGTTGAAGGAGGCTGGAAAAAGCTGGTGGGTGTGGGAAGGGAGAAACAGTGACAATAAGAAAGGTGACCTGGACTCACCTTGCATCTGAGGTCAAGTGAGAACTGTTCCTCATGTTAGTGTTCTCATCGAGTAAAATATGTTTCCCAAGTGTGGAAATTATCAGAGATCAACATATAATAGTTATTATTCCTAAAATATCAGATATAACCGATAGATTACGGTAACTACTAAAGTGTAGCGATTCGTCAGGTTCCATCCCCAACCAATCAGCCTGACCCTGAGGTCTCAGTTGCCAGCTTCCGGTTAAAGTGCATCGCCTCACCTCATGAATATTGTTACTATAACTTAAGTCTTCCTCCTACCTCATTATGTCGACCATTAAACCATATTTAAGAGGCTGTTTAGCATACTGTAATCTCAGGTGTGATGCCTCGACTCCAACGAGGCAATCACGGACAAGGACCGCCACAGACAAGACCTCCACAGACAGGGCACCACCAAGGACCTCACAGACAGGACTGCCACAGACAAAGACCTCCACAGACAAGGCCACCACAGACAGGGCCGCCACCAAGGACTACAGACAAGGACCGCCACAGACAAAGACCTCCACAGACAAGGACCTCCACAGACAAGAGGCCACCTGAACAAGGACCCTACCGACAAGGACCTCCACGAACAAGACCGCCGCGACAAGGACCTCCAGACAAGGACTGCCACCGACAAGGACCTCCACAGACAAGGACCCGACAGGGACCTCTTAGAACAAGGACTGCCACAGACAAGGGCCACCAGACAAGGGCCGCACCGACAGAGACCGCCACAGACAAGGCCGCCACAGACAAAGACCTCCACAGACAAGGACCTCCACAGACAAGGGCCACCACAGACAAAGGGCCAACACAGACAAGGCACACCGACAAGGACCACCACAGACAAGGACCGCTACAGACAGGACCTCCACAGACAAGGACTGCCACCGACAACGACCTCCCACAGACAAGGACTGCCACAGACAAGGGCCACCACAGACAAAGGGCCGCCACCGACAAGGACCGCCACAGACAAGAGGCGCCACAGACAAGAACCTCCACAGACAAAGACCTCCACAGACAAGGACCTCCACAGAGGACCTCCACAGACAAGGGCCGCCACCGACAAGGACCTCCACAGACAAGGACCCACAGACAAGGACCTCCACAGACAAGACTGCCACAGACAAAACCTCCACAGACAAGGACTGCCACCGACAAGGACCTCCACAGACAAAGGCCTGCCACCGACAGAACCGCCACAGACAAGGGCCGCCACCGAGAAACCGCCACCGACAAGGACCGCTACAGACAAGGACCCTCCAGAACAGAGACTGCCACCGACAAGAGGGCCTGCCACCGAAAGGACCACCACAACAACCGCCACAGACAAAGAACCTCCACAAACAAGGACCTCACAGACAAAGACCTCCACAGACAAGGACCTCACAGACAGGGGCCGCCACCGACAAGGACCTCCACAGAACAAGGACCGCCACATGATGGTTGTATTACATTCTTATGCTCTCTCTCTCTCTCTCTCTCTCTCATCTGTGTTACCAAGACCATATTTACAGTTAATTTCTGAGGAATTCCATCAGTGTGGATTAAATCCGTTTGTAGGCTGAGGAGGAGGAAGGAAGCGAAGAGAGGAGGAAATGAGGAGGAAAGAGATTAAATGAGGGGTCGATAGAAGACGGAGAGACCAGTGAAAAAGGAGATTAAATGAAAGTAGAGAGAGGCATGGTAGGGCAGAGGAAAAAAGAAAGAGTCAGGTAGGGGAGAAGAATGAGACATGCAATGGAGGCAAAAAGCAGGGGAAGGAGGACAGTGGGAAGATGAATAAGGAAAGGACTCGAAAGGGAGATGGGGAGAATGGGTAGTAGGTGTCAAGGGATAGGAGCAGGGAGACAGCAGTAAGCATAAGGCAACAGTCAAGTCACTTCAGGATCAAGTATTTCCCCAGGACTAAATTTTACTCCATCTTATCGAGAATTTAATATCTTCTGTTTTCATTATACTACACCTGGAGCAGAGAGCGAACACACACACACAAAGACAAGATATACACACAAGACACGCACATACACATTCAACATCAGCCTGAACTGTAATAAATCAATGTAATGTATGTAAACTGACTGCTATTATTACTATACTACCACTACTAGTATCACACAACTACTACCATAACTACTATTACTACTACTAATAATATGCAAAACAAATGGCTTTCGGAAGTTATATAAAAGTCAATTAATATATCATAAATAATTTTAAATAGACTCACATATTCATGTATGTTAATTAATTATCCGGAATACTAATATTTTCAATAACCGGCTGAATAATTTACCCAACATTACACCTGGTTAATTTTTATGATACTTTAATACACTGTGGCCTTATTATATTAAATAATAATAATGATAATAACAAACCAATGGTCCTACAACCACAACTTGGAACAAAAACAACCATAAGTACAACAAAACAACCACACATACGAACAAAAACAACCACACACAGACGAACAAAAACAACCACACAGACGAACAAAACAACCACACAGACGAACAAAAACAACCACACAGACGAAGAACAAAACAACCACACAGACGAACAAAAACAACCCACACACAAACGAACAAAAACAACCACACAAACGAACAAAAAACAACCACACAAACGAACAAAAACAACCACACCAAACGAACAAAAACAACCACACAAACGAACAAAAAACAACCACACAAACGAACAAAACAACCACAAACGAACAAAAACAACCACACAAAACGAACCAAAAACAACCACACAAACGAACAAAAACAACCACGACAGACGAAAACAACCACAAACGGACAAAAACAACCACACAAACGAACAAAAACAACCACACAAACGAACAAAAAACAACCACACAAACGAACAAAAACAACCCACACAGACGAACAAAAACAACCACACAAACGGAACAAAAACAACCACACAGACGAACAAAACAACCACAAACGAACAAAAACAACCACACAAACGAACAAAAACAACCACCAGACGAACAAAAACAACCACACAAACGAACAAAAAACAACCACACAAACGAACAAAACAACACACAAGACAAAAAACAACCACACACAGACAGAAAAAAACAACCAAAGACAACAAAAACAACCACACAGACGAACAAAAACACCACACAGACGAACAAAAACAACCACACAAACGAACAAAAACAACCACACAAACGAACAAAAACAACCACACAAACGAACAAAACAACCACACAAACGAACAAAAACAACCACACAAACGAACAAAAACAACCACACAAACGAACACAAAACAACCCACACAAACGAAACCAAGCAACCCACAGACGAACCAAAAACAACCACAAACGAACAAAACAACCACACAGACGAACAAAAACAACCACACAAACGAACAAAAACAACCACACAAACTCAAAAACAACCACACAAACGAACAAAAAAAACAACCACACAAACGAACAAAAACACCACACAGACAGAACAAAAACAACCACACAAACGAACAAAAACAACCACACAAACGAACAAAACAAACAACCACAAACGAACAAAAAACAACCACACAGACGAACAAAAAAACAACCACACAAACGAACAAAACAACCACACAAACGAACAAAACAACCACACAGACGAACAAAACAACCACACAAACGAACAAAACAACCACACAAACGAACAAAAACAACCACAAACGAACAAAAACAACCACACAGACGAACAAAAACAACCACACAAACGAACAAAAAACAACCACACAGACGAACAAAACCAACCACAGACGAACAAAAACAACCACACAAACGAACAAAACAACCACACAAACGAACCAAAAACAACCACAAACGAAACAAAACAACCACCAGACGAACAAAACAACCACACAAACGAACAAAAACAACCACACAAACGAACAAAAACAACCACACAAACGAACAAAAACAACACAGAACGAACAAAAAACCAACCACAAACGAACAAAAACAACCACACAGACGAACAAAAACAACCACACAGAACGAACAAAACAACCACACAGACGAACAAAAACAACCACACAAACGAACAAAAACAACCACACAGACGAACAAAAAACAACACACAAACGAACAAAAACAACCACACAAACGAACAAAAAAAACAACCACACAGACGAACAAAAACAACCACACAAACGAACAAAACAACCACACAAACGAACAAAACAACCACAAACGAACAAAACAACCACACAGACGAACAAAACAACCACAAGACCAAGCAAAACAACCACACAGACGAACAAAAACCATACCCAAACGAAACCAAAACAACCACACAAACGAACAAAAACAACCACACAAACGAACAAAACAACCACACAAACGAACAAAAACAACCACACAGACGAACAAAACAAACACACAAACGAACAAAAACAACCACACAGACGAACAAAAACAACCACACAAACGAACAAAAACAACCACACAGACGAACAAAACAACCACACAGACGAACAAAAACAACCACACAAACGAACAAAACAACCACACAAACGAACAAAAACAACCACACAAACGAACAAAAACAACCACACCAACCACACAGACGAACAAAAACAACCACACGAACCAGAACAAAAACAACCACACAGACGAACAAAAACAACCACACAGACGAACAAAAACAACCACACAGACGAACAAAAAACAACCACACAGACGAACAAAAACAACCACAACAAAAAACAACCACACAGACGAACAAAAACAACCACACAGACGAACAAAAACAACCACACAGACGAACAAAAACAACCACACAAACGAACAAAAACAACCACACAGACGAACAAAAAACAACCACACAAACGAACAAAAACAACCACACAGACAGAACAAAAAACAACCCACACAAACGAACAAAAACAACCACACAGACGAACAAAAACAACCACACAGAGAACAAACAACCACACAGACGAACAAAACAACCACACGACGAACAAAAAACAACCACACAGACGAACAAAAACAAACCACACACAGACGAACAAAAACAACCACACAGACGAACAAAAACAACCACACAGACGAACCAAAAAAACCACCACACAAACGAACAAAAACAACCACACAAGTACGTAAATTATTCAACTCTCAATCCTAAAGGCATTCACAGCCAATCATAGAGCTTATTTGTCCAATCCCTGTAAATTATGCCAGAAGAGAGAGAAGATTGAGATTCCAACCCCCCTTCCACACCCGTACCAAATTTACTATCACCCTCAATTTCTGGATCAATAATCTTTCATATGTCCATTAACAATCTAACATTCTGCTTCAATTTACATTTTTGTGTTCTTTCATCTCTTAATTAAATTCTCATTGTTGTTTTCGAGTTGAAGATGAAACAATATTTATTTTATATTGTGCAAGTTATTCCTGTTTATCACAATTTCCTGCCTCGGACATATTCTTACCATTCTGTATTTTTCCCATTCCATGTTCATCATTCTTTGCTGTCTTCCTTCTTACAATTCAGTATATTTTTCTGGTTTATCCCTAATCCTGTGTTTATCAAGTTATCCTGCCTATGTCTTCTCTATATATTTTAACACTTGTCGATCATGAATAATTTTTGTGGTTTATTATGAATTATCGATTTCTCCCCCATACTATTATTGTCTATTGTTGTATTCTAATAAACTTCTGTATCACGTTCCACAATTATCATTTCACACCTATTATCTTATCACGTTCCACAAATTATCTTGTTATCACGTTCCCACAATTATCTTGTTATCACATTCCCAATTATCTTGTTATCACGTTCCCACCAATTATCTTGTTATCACGATTCCCACCAATTATCTTGTTATCAAGTTTCCACAATTATCAGGTTTTCATTGTTCCTCTTATTGAGTATAACACTGTCACCGTTATCTTGCCAGGAGCAGGACACACACACAGAGAGAGAGAGAATACCCTCACCTTACCTCATCATTCAGGTCAGACAGAAACTAGCCACATCTCCTAAATAAAAGTGGCCCAATATCAGATGGGTTGCAGAAATTTCCACTTCAAGCCGTTAATCTCAAAGAGATTGAGTTACAAGCTTAATCCTGGTGATTCCATTTACAGATTAAACTTGGGTCTGAATACAAGCTCTGGGGAAAATGTTCAAGCAGAAAAAAAAGAATATTTTTAATGTTTTGGATTTCCTGGAAGGAAGGAGGGAGGGAGGACGAGGTAATGATGGGGTGAGGAAGGAAGGTACAGAGGAAATGAAAAAGGAATAGAGAGAAAGCGGTACAAAGGAGAAGAATAGCATGGGAGAGATACCAGCCTGCCAGCCCATAACACCGTGGTTCACATTTACAGTATCTCATCACCTGGTGTGTGGAGTCCACCACATTCACATCTGTGCTGTCAGATATAAGACCATCCTCTTGAGCCAGGTTATGGGGACAAGGAGAGAGGTAATCCATGTAGGTAAAGGTGAATATGGAAAGGCAAATGTTTGTTTTCTTTAAATTATCAAAACTAACCCTAACCTCAACCTAATCAATAACTAATACTACATAATTTAAACAAAAAAAAAAAAAAACCAATCTCAGCTAACTAGTATTACATAACCAAATCTAGCCTAGCCTACCCCTACTCTCCCAGCCCAGCCCACCTTCCACTAACCAGAGAACAGGTCTGCCGGGGGAAAAAAAAAGAGGAGGTGGGGGCAGCTCTCTATAGAGTTATGTCTTGAAAGGAACAACCATGGATAATGGAGACTCACAAAGATACAGTTTGATGGATTATTTTATCTTCGTTTGTGAAGACATGAGGAGGGAGGATGGGGAGCGGGAAGGGAGGAGGACGGAATGAGATGGAGGGAAGAGGAAGATGGAGAGGAAGAGGAAAAGATGGAGGAAGAGGAAAGATGGAGGGAAGAGGAAAGATGGAGAGAAAGGAAGAAAGGAAAGATGGAGAGAAGGAAGAAGAGGAAAAGATGGAAGAGGGAAGAGAGAAGGGAGGGAAGGAAGGAGGGAAAGGGAAGGAATGAGAAAGGAGAAAGAGGGGTGGGGAGGAGGTGGGAGGGAAGAGAGGAAGAGAGAGTAGAGACAAGAAGAATCCATGTTGACTGAGATTATAAATGTATATCAACAGTGGCGAAGTCAATAAACATACAGGTTACACTATACCCCACCACCCACAAAACTCATATTTATATCGACCATACACAGGGTTTATACCACACCCATGAGTGTGTATATTGCACACACACACAATGACATACACGTCACGGTATATGCAAGCAATAAAAATCTCTCTCTCTCTCTCTCTCTCACACACACACACACAGGTTCCCCATAAGCCTGACGCCTCATATCCGCACTCCCAAACAAAGGAAATTTTGTCCTGACATTGACCAAATAATCTCCGGTGAGAAGGCTGAGAGAAGGATCTTGTAGATTCTTCACCCATGTCTCAGGGAGGAAAGGGGGGAGGAAAGAGGGGGAGAAAGGGATGTGGTTAGTAGCTATATTTTGCCGTATTGGCTGGTAACAAACACACACAAAGCTTGAAGGCATAAGTTGGGGCAATCTCAAATCTACAAAGGTAAAATAATTACTTCAGTAGCTGATATGACTGGTGAGATGAGAACAAGTAGTATTGTGTCGGCATCAGCAAGAGCCGTTGATAGTGGTCTCCCTCCTCTGGGTGTGTTCCTGCCCAAGGTGTGCCCCCTACCCAAGGTGTGCCCCTGCCTGAGGTGTGTTCCTGCCCAGGTGTGCCCCCTGCCCAAAGGTGTGCCCCCCTACCTGGGTGTGTTCCCTGCCCAGTGTGCCCCCCTGCCCAAGGTGCCCCCCTGCCGAGGTGTGCCCCTGCCCAGGTGTGTTCCCATGCCCAAGGTGTGTTCCTGCCCAAGTGTGCCCCCCTGCCCAAGGTGTGCCCCTGCCTGAGGTGTGTTCCCTCCCAAGGTGTGCCCCCGTGCCCAAAAGTGTGCCCCCCTGCCTGAGGTGTGTTCCCTGCCCAAGTGTGCCCCCCTGCCCAAGGTGTGCCCCCTGCCTGAAGTGTGCCCCCCTGCCAGTGTGCCCCCTGCCCGAGGTGTGCCCCCCCCTGCCCAGGTGTGTTTTCCCATACCCAAGGTGTATTCCCCTACACAAAGTGTATTTCCCTACTGAGTGTGTTCCCCTGCACAAGGTGTGTTCACAACAAGGTGTGCCCCCCTGCCCAGGTGTGCCCCCTGCAAGGTGTGTCCCTGCACAAGGTGTGCCCCCCTGCAGGGTGCCCCACTGGTGTGCCCCCCCTGCCCGAGTGTGCCCCCTGCCCAAGAGTGTTATACCCAAGGTGTGTTCCCTGCCAAGGTGTGTTCCCTGCACAAGGTGTTTCCCTGAGTGTGTTCCCTGCCAAAGTGTATTCCCTGCACAAGGTGTGTTCCCTACTGGTGTGTTCCTGCACAGTGTGTTCCCTGCAAAAGTGTATTCCCTGCACAAAGGTGCCCCCTACCCAAAGTGTGTTCCATGCCCAAAATGTGTTCCCTGCCAAGGTGTGTTCCTACCAAGTGTTCCCTACAGAGTGTGCCCCTGCCCAGAGTGTGCCCCCCTGCCCAAGGTGTGTTCCATGCCCAAGAGTGTGTTCCCTACAAGTGTGCCCACAAGTGTGCCCCCCTGCCCAGTGCCCCCCTGCCCGAGTGTGCCCCCCTCCCAAGTGTATTCCCATACCCAAGTGTGTTCCCTGCACAAGGTGTGTTCCCCTGCCCAGTGTGCCCCCCTGCCCAGTGTGCCCCCTACCCAAGTGTAATTTCCATACCCAAAGTGTGTTCCATCCCCAAGTGTATTCCCTACACAAAAAATTTTTACCACTAAAATTATGTTCCATACCCAGGTGTGTTCCCCACCACAAATTGTGTTCCTGCACAAGGTGTGTTCCCTGCCCGAGGTGTGCCCCATACCCAAGTGCCCCCTGCCCAGGTGTGCCCCCCCTGCACAAGTGTGCCCCCCCTGCCCAAGGTGTGCCCCCTGCCAAGTGTGCCCCCCTGCACAAGGTGTGCCCCTAAGGTCCACAATATACACACCACTCTCTGGTTACTGTACAATAGAAAGTAAACACATGTGTTCACACCACACACAGTATACCTAAAGATCCTTCAATTACACATCTTCACTGACCCAGGGACGCCACACCACAACACGTGCCAAGTATCTTACTATTTAACCTGGCAAAATTCTCCAGAAGCTTATCAATAAATTTCACCCCATATTTACCTGCAGTAACATATATGCTCTCTGTGAAGCTTATAAATTACACAGGATGTTTACCCATGCACTACTCCTCAACACAACATCAGATATATATATATATATATATATATATATATATATATATATATATATATATATATATATATATATATATATATATATATATATATATATATATATATATATATATATATATATATATATATATATATATATATATATATATATATTTTTTTTTTTTTTTTTTTTTTTTTTACGGGAATTAGCCCACCGGGCACAGGTCACTGAACCACATCAGGGCCCGGGGGCAAAAATCAAATAATACTTTATATGTATGTTGTTTGTCATGTAATAGAAACAATTGAGACCCTACAATTGTGTGTAAATGAACAGAAAGTCAGATCATCAACCTGGGACTTGGTCACATATGGCAGCAGATCTACACATTAATTGCCAATATCCCAGGCAGTAGTACCTCCTACTACCTCACATTATAATATAAATAAAACAAATAACCCAAAAAAACATAATACATCTATTATAACTAATAAACAAAAAATAACAACAGCGCAATAACAAAACAATTATGTAAAAAAAAAATAATAAATACAAAGTAACGAGGAGAGTTAACTAACCCGTCTGCGACCTTAACAAGATTAGGGAGGCCTTGCTTACCAGGGAATCCCAAGTGTTCTGTGTCTCCACCACAAACACGACACACTCAGCACGTGACCTCACCACACCTATAACCATCACCACCACCCTACCTCCACCACCCACCCACACCTACCTCCCACCACCACCCACACCCTACACCCAACCACCACCACTACCTCCCACCACCACACCCCACCTCCACACCATACACCACCACCTACCACCATCACCCACATTCCCCCCTCCACACCACCAACCTATCATCAAAACACCACTAACCACAAAACCTGTACTAGTACCAAGTGCAAAAATATACCACAACCAAACCACCAACTTAATCACACCAGATTATACCGCACATACAGCTGTACATGAGTATCCACCATGTACATCATATTCCCAACACCAGATTATACATCTTCAAGTTCAGAGTTCTGAGTGTGTTAATCAAGCGTCTTACTCGAGCGAATCACAACACTCAAAGCATTATTTGATCTGTTTTTCATGGTCCAATAAGCTGTGGTCTGGTTATAGTGAGCCTATATACCGAAGCAGGTAGGGTAGGAATAAACATTAAATTTGTCAGGTTCATATTGGTTAGTGTTACGGCAGATAATCTCAAAGGTAAGAAAATAAAGTAAGGGAGTTGGTTAATCTTTAGAGAGGAAGAAAGATAGACAAAATAAACCTGGTGGGCTGTTGGTAGCACTCGATAACAAGGCAATTAATCCTACAAACAAGCAGTGATGAGGGAGAGGTGGTGCAGGGATGAGAATGTAAGGAGGTTGGAGAAAGTGTATGAGAGGTGGTGTAGAGTGTATACAAAACAAGTTATCAAGATAGCCAACAGTTAACCCATGGAGACTTTTAACAAGTCCAATCCACAAAGTCAGCAATTAACAGTCAAGCCACAAATAGAAGACAGATGTTTGGAGGTGGACCCCAGGAAATCCATATGCCTGGTGACGTCATATCAGGGAATATTGCATGACCGCTTCGCCAGGTGGATCGATACAAGCCAAGGAATTACCTCAGCTGTGTGGGCGACACTAGTGTGATGGAGCTCTATTATCAAGACTTCAAAGTCAAGAGGCTAACCATCAGAATGATTTGAGCGAGAAGAGCATTCCAAGAGCACTCAATCGAGGTCAGATTAATCGAGGTTTTTTTACTGTAATACCTTCGAATATATTATATTATTGCTGATTATGCATTAATTAGGTACAGTGCGATATAACATTGTAAACTCTTCTATTATGTAGGTTTAGTACAGCAGTAACTTTGGATGGAATAGTTCCATATTGCTGCATTACTGATATACTACTATTATTATTATTACTATTTTTTATTGTCAATTATATTATTATTGTAGTAAATTATTTTATCATTTTCAGATAACCATGAGACAAAACAGAACGACAGGCCATCTTCACCCCTGCGTACATGTGAGGTAAAAGTTCAACATTATTATCACAAAATATTCTTGCAACACCGGATAAAACCAGTATTAGGCAAAGCACTTTATATTATTATACACTTTTGTGTGTTAATTCCAAAAATAAATGGCATTTTCCTCACTAGAAGGTAACAATGACCTTTGTGATCGGTGAATAAGTCCAAGTCACCTACCTATATGACGTAACACACAGTCCTCACCATGTACACAAGTTATATGTACAAGTTCTGATACC